CCGCCGCTCGGCGCTGGGGCCCTGCCCGCGGGGCCCGGCCGCCATCGGACTGGCCCTTGTCCACCCTCACCCCACGTCTCTGCGCCCGCCTCTGGCCCGGTGGGTCTCGGGGGTCTGTCTGTATCCCCACCCACCTTCGGCCACCCTGCTCCTGGTTCTGCACCTCCCCTCTTCCCTCTTCCGGCCCCAGAAATGCCCTTCGCCCCTCCTGGCCACTGCAGTGCTCGCGGGACCCACCTCCTCCTCGGTGACCCTTCTGCATCCCTTAATTCTGGCTCGCACTTGGAGATGCTTGACCGTTCTGCCTTCCGATTCTGCTCCCGCTGCCTTTAGGATCTGTCCCCGGGCTCTTCTGTGACCTATCTACTATTATCGTGTCTCAGAATCTAGTATCGCACCCCCAGGAGCTGTCCCTTTAGGACCAGCTGTTGCACCTCCTTGGAGATCCACCCGAAGCCCCTGGCACTGCTGCCCCGAGGTCTTTCTCGTGGACTTGATTCCATCTCGCTCTTGGGTGCAGCTCGTCCTCTCAGAACCTGCTGCACCCCCGGATGGCCCTTGGCTGCCTCTCCGACCCTTTTCTGACTTGGATGCCCCATGTTTGCCTCCTTCCCCTTCGCAGCCCTTGCTCCCGTTTGCCATTCAGACCTTTTCCTCTCTTCCAGACTTTTTTGCCTCCTATCTTTGCCCGTGCTCCCTGGCCTGCTTGCTTTCTGCCTCTGTCTTCCCTAGGAAGCAGCCTCCTCCCCTTTCTCTGACCCTGCAGGTCCCTCGTGTCTGCTGTTCGCTTCCCTGACCTCGATCCGTGACTCAGTTTCCCTCAGCCTTATGTCCTAATGTTCTCTTGGGGGTTTCTTCACACCTTTTTTGGCCCTCTTCGGAGCTGTTCCATTCATTCGCTCCCCTTCCTCTGGCCAGTCCTCCCCTCAGTTCCTCATTGCCTAAGACCTGCTTCCTGCCTCTTCTCATTGTGGGGCTTCTTAGCCTTGCCCTTGCTTCGCTCTGCCTCTGATACTCTGACCCGCCACCTATCCCGTTCCTATTCTGCATCGTAGACTGCCCTGCGAGCCTTTCCCACCTGCTCTTTTATCATTTTTCAGTTCTGCCCCTATCTTTATTTAGGTCCTCCCACCCCCATCTTGCTCCCTTTTGGAGCTGTCCATTTGCCCGAATATTTTTTGACCCATTTTTAACTTTGCTATTGCTGTCCCTCTTGAAGTGGTCCTTTTAACACTCATTTCCTTATCGCTGCTGCCTGTCAGTTTTTTAATGCCACACCATTTTGGTTCAGTTTTCACCCTCCACTATATTCATATATTTGTCCTCTCTCCCTAGCCTTGCCTCTTACTTCATTTTTGAGTTCTCTTTCCCTCACTTGTGACGTTAATGTGTATTTTTTTTTTTTTTTTCCTTTCTCGTGCTGGGGATTGACCCCAGGGACTTTGCATAGTTCTTTACATCACTAGCCCTTTTAATTTTTTTAAAATTTTGAGGCAGGGTCTTACTACATTGTGCCCAGGCTGGGTTTATACTTGTAATCTTTCTGCCTCAGCCTGCCAAGTAGCTGGTTTTACAGGCATGTACCACTAAGTTGTCTTTTTTTTTTTTTTTTGGAGACAGACTCTCTCTGTGTAATTGAGGCTCACTATGGAGCCCAAGCTATCCTCAAACTCACAGTGATCCTCCTGCCTCAGCCTCCCAAGTGCTGAGATTGTAGGCGTGTGCCACCACACTTGGCCTACTAGGGTATCGGCTTAGTCATTACTTCCTGTTATTGTGTCCCCCCCACAACTTGGAGTTCCCTCAGTGTTTGATTGATGGTCTTTTCCTTTTCTACCCCTTTCCCAAATCTCCCAATTTTGTTTCTCCCTTTTTCCTTTTTCTAGTATCCAGTCTGGCTCTTGCCTTTAGTTTCCTTCTGAGCTGCCTCTTCCTGGCCACTTCCCACTGAGGGTTTTTTCACGTGTGTCATTTCTTGTTTGTTTTTTGTTTTTGAGACAGGGTCTCTCTATGCTGTTCAGGCTGGCCTTGAGCTCACTTTGTAGCCCAGGCTAGTCTGGAACCCCCAGTGATCCTCCTGCCTCAGCCTCCCAAGAGCTGGGATTACAGGCGTGTGACACCACACCCGGCCCAGGTGTGTCATTTCTCTGACCTCTATGCCTCACCTTCAGAAACTAAAGGACTAGCTTGGGCCTCTGGTTTTTTAGGTCACAGATCTTCTCAGCACCCTGCACCTGAGGATTTCATCCCCAGGGATCCTGTGAGATCTGTCAATAGGTGGGGGATGCTTGGTGACTGCCCCAGTTCTCCCACTTCCACCAAGGTTAGTGGTGGGGTAACTCACATTCCATTGCCTGTTTTCTATACTGTGCCCTTACTTGTTCCCCTCTTCAGATCTCTGGGCTTCACAGCTTTGTGTCCTTTAGAAAGGGGAACTGCAGCTGCTTACCAGTCTTTATTGTCTTTTTCACTCTCCCTCTCCTGAGTGATTGCAGAAACATACCCTCTTCCCCCTCTACCCGCAAGGCAGCACCCCTTGGGAGATCTTAGGAGTGTACTTTTTTATTTTTTCCAGCTAACAAGTCATATTCTTGTTTTATTCCTGATGAGGGAAATGCCAGTTCTCAAGGCCTCCCATCCCAGGAGGGTTATGGCCACGCTTGGTGTTTTTTGCTCTGGGCCTGCAGAAGCAGCAGAGTTTTTCTTGCCTTCCCTAATGGTCTTTGGTTTGCCCTGTGACCTTGGGGGAGGGGTTGGGCAGGGTAAGTTTATTTCTTTTTTACCTCTGCCTGGGGAAGGCTCTAGCTTCCTGGTCTTCAAAATGGTGAGAGCCTGGCTTGGAAAGCACTTTGCGGTTGTTTGTTGAAAGAGAGAGTGCCAAGTGTCACTCTGATTTCTGCCCTCTGGTATTGCAGGCACTCCCAGCCACAGAAGCCGTGTGCCTCTGGGCAGATCCACACTGCTCCAGGGCTTGGTGCCTTGGTGTGCATGGGATATGTGGGCGGGCCTGACCTTCCCCAAACCTTTTGGGGGACCTCAGTGGGTAGAATTAGAGAGAGCTGCCAGGGACTGGCTGACATGCATGGATTTTTGGTCTTGTCTGGCAAGTGGGTCTTTGCTCCCTTGTCTGAGCCATTTTCTCCATTGATCTTACAGTGGTGTGGTGTTTAAGGAAATCCATTCACAGGTAGAAATGGTTTTACTGAAGAGCCATCCAGCCATTTTCCTTCCTTAGCTTGGGACAAGAGGATCTTTACCACGTTCTAGGTTTATCTTATTTTTTAGTAGTAAATCAAAAGCCTGATCCACCCCCCCACCCCCACCCCAGGGCAATTGCATATTAAAGCAGCTATCCATCTGGGAAGGAGCATTTACTAGGACTTTCTTTCTTTTTCTGGTACCAGGAATTGAACTCAGGACCTTGCACTTGCCAGGCAGGAACTGTGCCATTGAGCTATGTGTCCGGCCCCTAGAAGGACTTCCTTGACTGAGTTATGTTCAAACTTTATTTCAGCATTTATTTAGGAAAGTTCTGTGTGAACACACTTGAAAAAAAAATTCACTGTTCTCTATAGAACTGTACCATTGACTCATCAAATGTTGAGGTGTTTGTATAGGTGACAGTGAAAGGGTCTGAATAGTAGATCTGTATGGCTCTAACTTTTTAATTTTAAGACTTTAAATTTTCTGAACAAGCAGTCTGGCAATTTAAATGTGTTTCCTTATTATCTTAAAGAGTTTTGGTTTATATCCACTGGTGAATGAATCTTTGACCTTATGTGTCAGGATTAAGTCACTTATTTTAGAGTTTGTTGGCCGGGGATATAGCTTAGTGGAACAGTGCCTGCCTGGCAAGCTCAAGGTCCTGAGTTCGATTCCCGGTATCAAAAAATACATATAAATAGAGTTTGTGAGTTTGGGATAGTTTTTTTTTTTTTTTTCCTATTCTTAATGTGAAAGTGATAGCTAGTTAAGAATGAAAACAACTGTGTATGCTTAAATTTGTGTTCTAGTTTTTTCATTTTTTTTTGTCCTTTTGAGATAGGGTCTCCCTATGCAGTTCAGCCTCACCATGAGCTCATGTTGTAGCCCAGGCTGGTCTCAAACTTGCAGCAATCCTCCTGCCTCAGCATCCCAAGTGCTGGGATTACAGGCATGTACCAGCATGCCCGGCTTGTTTTTGTTTTTTATTTGTTGATTTTTGAGACAAGGTCTCTTTGTGTAGTCCAGGCTGAGCCTTGAGCTCACTATGTAGCTAAGGCTGGCCTCAACTCATTTTGATTCTCCTACCTTAACCTCCAGAGTTCTGGGACAACAGGTGTGTGCCACCATGCCTGGATTTTTTTTTTTTTTTTTTTTTTTTTGAAACGGGGTCTCACTGTAGCCCAGGCTGGCCTCGAACTCACAGCAATCCTGGCTCAGCTTCCTGAGTGCTGAGATTATAGGCATGTGTCACCAAGCCTGGCTGTGTTCCACTTTTAACAGCACTGGCAGC